GTCTGCATGAGCATCTGTGACCTGCAGCGCAGCAGCCAGCTCCAGTCAGTGCTTACAGCTCTGCACCAGCGTCAGGAACTTGACTTTCTTGGAGAGATGACTCTGAGAAGAACAAGTTCGACAAATGAATTCACTAATGACTTCCTTCCCTCCTACTTCAATGGTGGGATAATTCACAGTTCCTGCTCCCGCAGCGGGCTGCTCCATCGCCTGCCACCCGCTCCGTGCTAGGCAGCCCTGGCAGCGCCGCTGAGTAAACGAGCCAGACAAAGGGGGCCAAGATTGCCGAGTGGCATCAATCTGCCTTTTCAAACACCGCTAAAAACGCTGCGCTGGCTATTTTAAGGAGGCCCAGCGGCGGGCGGGCGGCGGGCAGGGCTCTCCGGAGGGCAGCGAGGATGCGGCTCGGACGCCCAAACTCCAGCCAAGTATCTCCCTCCCCGCAAGATTCACGCCCCAAGCATCTCAAACCCACCCTGAACCCAAATAATGGCCTATATATAAAAGCTTTGTGTGCACACTTGCTTTGGTACTGTTGAAAGCCTCAACTCTCCTTTGATACCTCTTTTTTTCTGGTTCGACAATAGTCTGGGCACTCTGGCTGGTGACGTTTCAAGGCAGGGCAGAGGCCAGAAGCTCTAGAAGAGGCTCAGGGCCAGAGAATGGCTGACGGCAAGGGCACGGGGCCTTGCAGTACTGGGGTTCACTTGCCTCGCTAACATCTACAGAGGTATAACAGATGGTTTTAGCCAAATAAATGGAGGCACAGTTTCCTGGTGGCTTGCAGCCCCCTCTCTCAAGCTCGACCTGTGCTGCCGGGCCCCAGAGCTCCCTGGACACGGTCCTGGTCCCCCAGCGTGCAATCCCCACGCCAGCTCCACACGTTTAGCACACATGGGGAAATGATATTTTTTTAAGTGGGGATGAGTTAAGAGGATTTGTTTCAGATACAAGATAGCTCTCATTAGTGTTTGCTCGTTTGGGTTTATTTAAGCCTTAATTGATTGTCTTCTACTTAACTGCACTCCAGTATCGCTCCGGCTCCAGAACAGCCTCTTACGTGACTGATGATTGCACGCTCTTCCCTTCTTCTCTCTAAAGATCTTTCTTGTTAGTTAGCCGGGTTTAGCAGATGATAAAGTCATGGGGCTTGCAGTAAAGCCGAGCTCTCTCCTTCACGTCGCTACACATGCAGCCTCCAGAAAGACTGCGTCCGGGTGAGTCTTGTGCTTTGACACCTGTTTTTGCTGAAGCTGTTGTAATTTGCAGCTGCAAACACCGCGCGTGAAATCATGGGTTTGCACGTAACGAATGTCCCGGGGTCTCGTGGCTCCCTCCCGCCAGGCTGCGGAGGGACAAGAACTCTGACTGGGCAGAGCTGAGGTCCAGTTTGTGACTGGCCTCATTACGGGGAGATGGAGAGGGGACTGCCATCGGCCTTGCAGCGTCACCGAACGCATGCTGCCCGGCTTGCAGGTCGGGCTTTCGTCGGTGGCTCTGCGGGAACCGTGCCCAAACGGCCCCAGCAGGTTGGCAGCGTGCTTTGGGAAAAACGAGGATCAGCCTGGTCATTATTTAGGACACTTTTGTAGCCCTGCTTCTGCTTGGGCTTGGATAGGAGAGGTCTGCCTCCCCAGCAGCTGAAACCTCACAGGATAAGCTGTTCTTCAGGCCAGCCCCTGAGATTTCATCCTTCCCAAAATAGGTTCCTTCCGAGCAGGAATCTGACTCCAAACAGCGTGGGGATTTGGATGCTGAACTACAGCACTTCTAGTGGCAGCTGGAGCCGATCCGCCGGGAGCCCACATACGGAGCCGGGACTTGCCAGGCATCAGAGGGACAAAGCTGACCTTTCATCGGGCTGCCTTGCTGAAAGGAGGCTCCTTCTCTTTCTAGAATAAGTTTGTATGGAGGCAGAAGAGAAACCCAGTGACTCAGAAAGGCAGCAGAGACGCGTTTCTGCTTCAGTCTTGCTTTCTGGTGTGATTGTTCAGAACAAAGCGAGCCGTGGTGTGTGAAATGCCCCTTCCTCGCCGGCCCTGTGCGGAGCCGAGGCGCGTCGGAGGTTCGTTCCCGCGAGGGGACCGCCCAGGCGGTTCCGACTCTGCAAACTGCAGTCCCGCTCCTCGCTCGTAGCCAGGAGCAGCTTTGGAGAGTCCGCCCCCAAATTCATACAAAAATTTCTTTTATTGCAGCGACCAAACAGAAACCGCCCAAAGCAGCTTGTCTTTTCAAGAAAGACACTTTCCTTTCAATACACTAGCGACAGGAATAATGTGGCTTTCTTACTGGCAGCGCCCCTGAAGAGCGGAAAACCGATCAGGCTCCGGCGCAACACCTCTTAGAATAACCAAAGCCTCACGTTTGCTTGTCCTCTTTGTGCTCTGCCGTCTTCAAACCGGCACAGAGCTAAAAAGGCACGAACTTTCAGCTGAGGGGAATTTGGTGGTGGTGGCTGCTGCTGCAAACCTCTCTCAATCGGGAGCCTGAGGAGGAGGAGGAGGAGGAGGAGGAGGCAGCAGCAGACGTTTGGGAGCTGCTGCTCGCCAGTGGAAGATTTGTGCTCTCGTTGCTTGACATTTCACGGGAACAGCAACTCTGCTGTTTTCTCCCGGGGGGGGGGGCAGGAGGACGGCGGGCACCGCTCTGCGGCCAGCCCGCGCCCACCCTGGGCTACCAGGGTGCGAAGGAGCCCTTCGCCCCACAGGGCCTGCGGCCTGGGCCTCCCCAAGCCCGGCTTCAAAAGGCGTCCCCTTCCCCAGGGCTCTTCGGGGAACCACCAGCAGCGCGGGGACGGGGTCGCGCCGGCTCCGCAGGGGACGGGGGATCCACACGGTGACCCCTGCGTCCCGGACCGGTGACCTCCGGGTCCCGAACCCGTGACCTCCGGGTCCCGAACCCGTGATCCCTGCGTGCCGGACCGATGAACCCTGCGTCCCGCACCGGTGACCCCGGGGTCCCGAACCCGCGACCCTCTGCGCGCCCGCCGGACCGGGCGGAGCGGAGCGGCCGCCTCACCTCCCCCGGCAGCCGCAGGCGCGGTGTAATCCGCCGCGCTCGGGGAGAGAGAGCGCTCCGGGGGGGGGGGGGGGGGGGGGGGAGAAGGAAGTTGTGGCCGAGCGCGGCCCCCCGGGCAGGCAAACACCCCGCTTCCCGGCGGGCCGCCTACCGCGGGGGGCTCCAGCCGCGGCCCC